TGAACGATAAGATCGTTTGAACCACAAAATACAGAAGTATCATTAGGGGATTATTAACAATACAAAAGTTCTGACCTAAAATTAATTCTTTAAATTGATTCATGTATCTTTGAACACCCGGTATCAGATCTATGCATTTATGCAGTCGCCTAAATGAATAAATGCAAATGCGGGATCAATATAATGCCATGTATCTGAAACTTTTAAAAACCGGTTTTGAATTAATATTTGTATTTATATCCGTAGAAGGAATTCACTATAGTTTCCATTTACGTAGCGCCGATATAAGGATTTATCTCTTATTGGAAAATGAGCTAGACAGAAAGATAGATGTTACCGCCATGCAATTTCTATCGGTTCAGAATAGACACCAAACACATGGCTGAACACTGATTGGATAAGGCACTAATGGACTCGGCAGGAGTGGGAAGTAAATGGTCTATTTTAGAATTTTGGTTTTATGGTAATATGAAGGATTTTGGGGATACCCATGTACTTAGATTATTTAAAATATGAATTAAATTCGTGCTTTATGCAATTATCATTTTGAAATATTATATTTATATAAATAATATATATAAAAAACGTATATTTTAAAATAAAATCTATTTCCCAAACAATCATTTTCAACGTCTTTTTTTGGTGCTTTAATGCATATATATAATGTACACATACTTGAGGGTTAGTAAAAGACGGTATTTGTATTATATTTTCCACAAATCTAAACTATTTCCAGGGTTCATGTATTTGGTGAAAATATATGAAATTTAGTTAACAAAATGCAAAATATTATCTTTTGTTTTTTTCCTCAACATGTATAGTGTTATTTTTAGAATTTCATTCATATACTTTCTTGGAAACCCAGCTTTGCCTGGAAACTAATTTGTTCACATAAAAATCAACTAATACTCAACTTTTTAATGTTTTAACCAAGCTAAAAACATTTCCGTCATTTTACGCGAGTTCCCCAATCAAAATGTGAAGCAAATCGGTCAAGGGTTTATGAGCTATGATCGGATACACAGGCACTCAGACACAAATAGAGATTACTACTTTATAATTATAGATGTATTATCAGCTATGCAACTTTATTTTTATTTTACAAGTTTTGTCTGACAATCTGCATAAACCATGTTAATTGTGTGAATTTGTGGTAATGTGAGTATATATCTCATCTGAGGTATGATATCCACCGAAGCAAGGTTTCCCGTTATTAAAGACTTAAAAAAGACAAACACGTTTTAAAATCCGATAAATGTTGATTTCTTGATAATCATTGAATTTTTTAAATTATTGATTTCTTGATAATTATTGATTTTTTGATAATTATTGATTTCTTGACAAAAAAAAAAAGATTTCTTGATAATTATTGATTTCTTGACAGTTTTTGATTTCTTGATAATTATTGATTTCTTGATAATTATTAATTTCTTGATAATTATTGATTTCTTAAAAATTATTGGAGGCACAACAATCTTATTAAATATATCACTGGATTAATTGATATTGACCGATTTCTGATGTATGCCGACATCCCGTCCCATACCCTTCCAGGGGGAGGTACTGTTCCCCCCCACCTCCTTGTGACCGCAGAGAAACCAGATTTAGTAATTATCGATAGAATGGAGGAAAAGATGGATATTTTTGAGCTTACTGTCCCATTGGAAACAAATATCAAAAATGCCAACGCTCAAAAGATGAACAAGTATGAACATTTTATTACAGATATAACAACTAGGGATGTGTCTGTTCTGGTTCATCCTTTTGAAATCGGCTCAAGAGGATATATCTCACCATCAAATAAGGCGATTCTAAAGAAACTGCATAAGTTCTGCAAACCTAGTGTTAGTTTCAAAGCAATGTGTGAAAATCTTTCAAGCCTTGCTGTACTGTCATCTTACCACATTTTTAGAAAACGAAAAACACTAGACTGGGACCAAGAAACCCCTTTTCTGAAAACCACCTCTGAATAGCTAAACTATACTTATGCTAAAAGTCTTGTATTGCACATGTTTTTTGGCAAACCCTGTCAATTATAAAATGCGATATCCAGAGAAAAGAGTATTAGTTTGTAAACTTTTATATTGTTTAATGTAATTTTGCTTTAGACAAATATAAATGATAAATATATTATTGGTCTCTTAATTATTATTGATTTCTTGATAATTAATGATTTTTTTGTTAATTATAGATTTCTTGATAATTATTTATTTCTTGCTAACAATTGATTTCATGATTTCTTGATAATTATCGATTTCTCGATCATTTTTCTTTTTCTTTAAAATTATTGATTTCTTGATAATTACTAATTTCTTGATAATTATTGGTGCTCAGTCATTGCTAAATCCAATAGCTATACTGGGGGGGTTGTTCAGCCTCTGTTGGGGACTTAAACCCCCTGAAAATTAAAGCCTCAATATGCTCTGTTCTTAATAAATATCAATTTATTCAATAAATCATAACATCAAATATAATCTTTGAAATTTAATAAGATACAAAACAATCAACCCACAGTTTTTGCAACAATGTATTTAAACATACTTTTCAAGAATAAAATTAACGAAATTTAAAGATTGTTAAATTGTCTATAATGTTAAATGGAAAACAAAGAATTTGATATTGTAGTTTAAAAATCTATTTGATCAACCTATTTTGAAATCCCACGGGCAACAGCAGGCAGTTCAGCTAAAATCATGTCTGAATACCATTCGCGGGTAAACGGAGGGAGTAACTATCTGGGCAACGCCTGCTACTATACCTAGTATTTCTATAAAGTTCAGGAGAGCGAACATGTCAATTAGATTTATATATTTTATAGTCTTAAAGTTCACACGATTATATTATTTAGACAAGATTTTATTTTACAAAGAATTGAATCAATTAAGTTGTTGATTGATAATAATAAAATTAGAATTATCGACAATTGCAATGCTGGTATCAGAAGGATGTGCAACTTGGGGGGGGGGGGACCCCTTTCTACAATAATATTCGATTAAAGAGAGGGTAGAACACCCCCCCCCCTTCTTTCCTAAATAAAAGAAAATTATGCCTAGGGTCCAATTTAAAAAAGAATGTTTAGTTAAACTTTTAAATGATTGAAAACAGACAACAAAATTATTAACTTATATTGAAAAAATGTGTTAAAGGAATCAAAATTTGACAGTAATTATCACGTTTCGTCTTTTCACGCTTGGAAAATGTTATCTTACCAAATTCAGTTGACTTAAAAAGATTTTTTTGTTTCTCCTATTTAATTCCCTACGTAAGCGTATTTTAAAATGGTCCTTCATGCAAAGATGGCAATGTCCGATTTACAACGGTACCCTAGACAACTTTATCAGAGCTGAAAACTTTAGAATGGGATATCCTTAATCCCGATAGTTTAATTAATCTGGAGATTAATAACAAGAGGAGAACAAGCATTATTTAATCTCAAGGTTAAGAAAAGAGTGGATCAAGCATCAATCCCAATACTCACCATTCAAAAGTTCCCAGCTCTGATCAAAGATTTGGAAGATAATTCAATTTCGCAGAGAAACCGCAAATGAAAATAAACAGTTTTACGAAACAAGGCCAATGCTGTCCAATTCATACTTGATCGGACAATGCTTCGAAGGGTACCGTTGTAAATCGGGCATTGCCATTTTCACATGGAGGGTCACTTGAAATTACGATTACAGTCCCTTTAAAGAGTTTAGTTTTTTATGAAAGATCAAGGGGGGGGGGGGAATGTTGGAGGCCCCCCCTGGATTAAATCCTGTAATCGGCCTGCTTCAACACGTTTAATGCTTTTCACCTTCTTTACTTTTTCTGAACAGAAGTCTGGTTTGTAGATAACTGTAACAACCCCCATGGATAAGCTGGATAAGGTCAAAAAACCAGATTTTAAATATCTTAAATATGACTAAGTGCACTGTATAGTAAAACTAGTTTCAAAATATTGAATAAAGGGGTCGCGGGACAGAAATATATCAAAACCTTCAATTTTTCAACTTTATCCTCTTTTTCTATAAATGATTTTGGAGACTATAAAAAAATTACAAATTTATTTTCTTCAGATATATTAAATTTATCTTTTATAGAGAAATGTTCATTTTACTAAACCCTTGAAGTTCATAGAAATCTAAATATTTATTATTAAAATGTACAGTAAAAAAATATTAAAAATCTCAAGTGCAATTCTTCACCAAATCTTACGAAATAAAACATAATGCATAACTGCTGATTTTAAACATACTCTATAATAAATTCAAACATAAATCGAATTTCAAAATTGTTTCAACATCAAATCCAATTTGGCAATATCTTGCTAATATTTTGCAATTTTTTGCGCGCAATCAAATAATTTTAAATATTTGTATGTACATAAAAAATATCAACAAATCAATAAAAAAACATTTAGAAAACTTTTAATACTGTTCTTCCAAAAAATCTAATTCCGGTTTTGATATCCCCCCCCCCGAACCTCTACGTTATTCTACAGATAACACAAAATCTAGAAATATGGTTCAATCCCACGTTGAAATTACTTGGTCTTGTTTCATCATAGGAGTATATAAAAGACAAATATGTGTATATGAGATAAGACATTTTTTGAAGGATAATTTTCCAAAAGATGAACATGAACCCAAATCAAAATTCTATCTCATTAGGAACCGCAATTAAGGATTTTGAGCTACGTTGCTGAATTACCTACTGCCGGTTTAATTTGAACCACCGATTCAAAGTTAAAGATTAGGGAAGGATTTGAATCAGTGATTCAAATTTTAACCGGCAGTTTTAATTACCTATATTCGGTCCCAGGATTGTATTGAATTTAATAAACCATGTTAAAGATTCTAATTGTATGAATTGTTACAGATCTCTTTGTCAATATATAATAAATTCTCTATAAACTCTATCACTGTAGATGTTACAGTTCGCCCCAAGGCATTTACGCCCGGCGCTATCTAACGCGCTTGGTGCAATTACGCATGCGCGTAGAACTAGTATATATAGAGTTAGTGAAGGTCAAATTAGCATAGTTGCACATTGTCTATACTTGAGCTCAGGCTAGAAGTGTAGAAGATTGTCAAGCAGTAAATATATATCATGCTTAAGTTTGTAAGTATCTCATTCAAAGTCAAAACTTTTTTTTTGTTAACTTTCTTTTATTTGTGTCAAATCATGAGCCTTCATTCTTTTATGAAAAGTAACTTTTACGATATTTTAAAACAAGAAAAGTGAAATTTTCAAGTTTCAACGTTGTTATACAAATTTTTATCCATTTACTGTGCTTAATAATTAGATATTTAATGGCTTTTTGTTTAAAAAGACAGAATTTTTTTTAATCAAATCAGTATTTTTTTTAATTTATGACATTGCAATGAAAACTTAAAATTTTTAAAAATCTAAATTTATTTAATGTATTTACTTCTAGCATATACTGTTCTTATAGCTGTAGTGGTTAAAAGTCATTGAATATAAATTACAAAACTTTTATTGATAATCATTCAGAAGCATGGAATTGATGTTTTATAGTGCTGATTAATAATATTACACTTTTGCAGGTAGTAGCATCTTGCCTGGCTGCGGCCGCCGCTGGTCAACTTGTTGACCCCAAGAATGCCAAGATCCTCAAGGAACAGAGATTCAATGCTGGAGATGGAAGGTTCGGATCTGCATATGCTCAAGAGGATGGAGTAGTGTTCAGAGAGGAGACTGGAGCAGAAGGAGAGAGAGTTGGACAGTATTCTTATATTGGAGACGATGGTGAGACCTACAACGTTAAATACACCGCTGGTAAGGATGGATTTAGAATTCTTGACGGTTCTCATGTTCCCACTGGAGCTAACGGACTTAACTCCGCACCTTTTGGAGCTGAGGACTCTCCTGCCCTTGCCGCCCCTGTCCAAGTAGCTGCCCCTGTCCAGGTATCTGCTGTTGAGCAAGTTGCTGATTATGATTACAATGATGCCCCTGTTGACCCCAACTTCAACCCCTTCATTAATCCTCATGATCCCACCCACCGTGACTTTCAGTTCAACACCAACGGAGCTAGATTTACTCCACAGAATGCCCCTGCATCCTCTCTCAACCAGTTCAACGCTGGAGTAGTCCCCCCTTGTGCTGACTGTGCTGGAGTAAACCCATTCATCAATCCCTTTGATGCTTCTCACCAGGCTGGGTTTGTAGCTCCCCAGCCTGCACAGCGTCTTGCTCCCCAGCCCGCCCAACGTGTCCAGACTGCTTTCAACCCTGCCTTAGTACAGACCACCACCCCCGAACCTAGACGCTTCTTCCCTCCCGGTCAACTTAAGCTGAACAGGTTCGAGACAGGATTCAACTTTGACTTTGCTTCCCAGTAAGCAGAGAGCAAACCAATATTGTACCTGGGAGGCTTGTTTAAAGAACTAGTTTCTGTTGTTATTGTGTGAGCTGAGTGGCTGTGCTGTCTGCTGGTGCTATGTACTGCGAACAGGATGATATATTGTGCTGAATTTATATATTGTAAATACAATTTTGAAAGAGATTCTTGTTTTCAAATAATATGTTGACCTAAAAGCCAAATATATATAAAAACAATTTAATTAAAGTTTTTTTTATAAGTGGAGGTTTTGTACCTGTTGGGGCACACCGCACTGAACTAGACAGACAGACAGAAGGTCAAAGGAATTAAGTTTTTGCCACAAACTCTAATTTCTTACCTCTATATCTTTGCAACCTGCACTGTCTTAGAATGTTGAATTTTCAAACTATGAATTCTGTCCGATAACATAATTTACGTTTGAAATAGTAAAGGTTTACACCATCAGGTTACAAAGCTATAAGGATTGGAAAATTCGAGTTTGTGACAAAGACTCAATTCCTTCATGCAATATTACTTGCTTCCTCAAAGCTCCTGTAATATTGATTTTAAGCTCACGTCTTTGAAAAGCAATTTTATTTTGTTACATATTATGAAATTTAAAAGGAGTTGCTTTTTAAATAACTCTTCAGTAAAAGGAGATATGATTAAACGCATTAAAGATATCATTCTAACCTGAAACTTAATTTGAATTATTATTAAAAAAATAATATTTTACAACAAAGAATATCCTAATTTCCATTGCAGACACCTTTTCTTTACTTCTGTTTGGTTTTTTACAGGGGCGGATACAGGGGGGGGGGCGGGGGACATTCGCCCCCCCCTGACAGATTCAGGGAAAGGGAAAGAAACAGAAAAAATATCTGTCTTAATAAACTATAATGTGTGAAAATTTAAAAATCTAGTTTTTTAGTCTTTAGTCATTAATTTTGACTATTTTTGAGTCTTTTAAGGTAAGGCGGGATTTTTTTTTCCAAATTATGAATTTTTTGTTCCCAAAAAATCTTGCCCCCCCCCTCCTCATTTAAATCCTGTATCCGCCCCTGTTTTGTTATATGAAAAGGAAAAATATTATCTGTTATTATTTCCTTTTATTAAATCGGATAATATGATTAATGTACTGAATCATAACAACGGAAAAAGTTCTAATCCCCATATCTTTGGAACTTGATAGTGTAAACCGTTGATATTTCAAACATAGAATAATTTTTAACAGAATTTATAGTCTGAAATATCTAAGTCTATGACATTGGGTTGCAAAGTTTAAGGGATAGGAAAATCAGAGTTTGTGCCAAAGACTATATTCCTTTAGGCTTTTTTAAATGCAGTATTGAATGTTAGTTTGTTTGAAAGCAAAATATTAATATAATAATATATTTTGTATTACTATGCATAAGTATTAAGTGATACTAACGGTATATATCTAGATACTTATAGATTTACTTACTTTGGAATACATTTCTTAATGCAGTTTTTAAGGGCCTGGAGTTGCCCTTGGAAGAAAAAAATTGAAAAAAATGAAAAGTAATTTCGAATTTTTTAGCCTATAACACCCCCCGGTCACCTCTAAGTGTCCAGAAAAATTTCAGTCCAATCGGTCCGGCCGTTTGGCCACCTATACGCAACATAAATCTAAATGAATGTCTTGTTTTATTATATATATTATAGATACAGATAGGCTCAATCGGTTGTCATTATATATTTAGTGGGAATCAACGTATAAAATATATTAATCTGTTTGTGGAAGCGTAAAATAAAAAAGTTATAATTTTTGTAATTATTAATATACCTTTTCAGTCTTCACACCCCTTTTCAAAGGATCACCATGGACACTTACCACAGACTCTATTTTTCTAATCCCAATATCTTTAGAACCTAATTGTGCAAACCTTAAATATTTCAATTTTTTACGGTTAAATACAGTAACATTTATAGTTTTAAAAATCAAAGGTCTTCGGCCTTGGATTGCAAAGATATAGGGATTAGAAAATTATAATTTGTCAAAACGGCCGAACCGAATGGGTCTAAATTTTAGCAAAACCTCGCATGACTTCGCCAGCATGCATCACTCAAAACAATTTGAATTTTTGGAATTTAAAAAATTTACCAAAAATCGTGAAAATACGCAAACTTTTCGGTGTTAATATATCATGTTAAAAAGAGTAGCGCCGAGTGTCATTGGCTACAAAAAATTTCCTTGAATGAAACAGTACTGACTTGTTTTGGCTCAATGTACAAATTTTTAGACCTCCTTTTGTTTGAAAATCCTCCTCTCACCACCTCTCTCTCTCAAACCCTCTTTAATTGTATCGTTGATTTTTTTAAATCCCCCTTCCCCTCTTATCCCCCCCCCTTAAATCCCCTACATATAGTCTCTCAATCTTGAATGGCAATATTTGGAGGGAGAGTTGGGGGTGGGGTGGGATTCCGAAGATTAAATTTTTTAGTAATTTAAATGGTTGACTGAGCACAGTTATAAAGAAGAGGATTCTCAATGAATAAATCAAATATTAATTTAGTATTGTGCTGCTAAGGTGAAATATATTGTGACAGATATAAAAAATGTAATTGTTAAACCTGAACTAGCTGGTCTCCAGTCGTAATTACGTTACGGGTAATTATGCATAACAATTTCTTTCACTTACGGAGGAGCATTACGCAAAATTACGTGTTAAGTCTAGTTTTGCGTAATTAAGTCGTAATTACACGAAATTAGGTAATACGAAACCATTCTGAAATGAGTAAAGTACATATTAATTCTCAGAAATGAATATAGCGGAAAAATATGTGTAAGGATATGCATGCTATAACTATGTCCAATCTGATTGGATAATTTAAATACTTTCAAATTGAAGTTTCGCTAATTAGGCGTTATTATTGCAACAATTCGCAAAATTACATTTTTAGAAATTACGCGAAATTAAGGCGTAATTTTGCAAAATTGAAGTTTTGCTAATTATGCATAATTATTACAATATTTCGCGAAATTACCTTGCAGAAATTACGCGAATTTACGCGTAATTTCGCGAATTGTAGTTTCGCCAATTACGTGAAATGAACATAATTCCACATTACTGCACGTAATTTTAGCGTAAGTGAACAGTCAACTAATTTTAAATTATAAAAAAATTTAAATCGTTTAAAAAAAATCTAAAAATAATTAAGAAAAGTTGTTTTTTAATATTCTTAAAATAAAACTTTAAAATATTCAAAAGTTTAACTCAATGCATTAAACAACCCCCATTTTCAAACGGCATGTGCATTACGATTTAAAATTCGGTGATGGTGATGAACCAAACCTCTGTAAAGTAAAAAAAATTAGATGTTAGTTCCACATTTTATTGAAAATATTTTTTGGTCTGGGTTGACCCTTGTCAGTTCTTGAGATTGTTTCTGTCAATAAGCAGTTAAAACACATTTTGTTTGTAATTTTGATTAAAGGACATCATTAACGACAGTAAAATAATTCAAATTAAAAAACAATCTAAATGTTGTTTTTCAACCGTCAATTCAATCTGCATCAATCAAAATGTAAACAAATCTGTATGATCTAATTGCATTTTATTTGATCAAAATCTACAAAATAAGGTACCCTCCCCCGCCCCTGATTCGTAAGTTAAAACCCAGGTGTAAGAAGAAGACAGCCTCTACGGCTCTCAGAGGACGGTTGAACCTCTACTCTCACCCAGGAGAGGACAGGAGAGGACACTAAACAGACCAGGGACATTCACACACACACCTGCACTTGGGATATAACCCAATCTATCCATCATCCTCTCCTACACCCCATCACACCCGCGCCTGCCCTACGCTTCCACTCCACAGTTCATAGTCGTGAAATTCGCAATCTCATTTTGGATAAAAATCCGTGAAACTTGTCGAGATGGGGAGAATGTAAGGGACTACGAGGCTATACAGCAACAAGTGGTGGAGCAGGTTGTATAACCACCATTCACATATTTATAGATTTATAGTTGCAGACTATACAATTATTTAAGAACATTTAAACATTGCTAAACATGCAATAACTTTCCTTAATATATGCAAATTTGCATAGTGCAGATTGTAAATTATACAGTGCAGGTTGTAAATTATACAGTGCAGATTGTAAATTATACAGTGCAGGTTGTAAATTGCACATTGTAGATTGTAAATTATTGCATCGAAATCTTGCAATTTGCAAAAAGATTGTTTATGCATATTTTGCATGGTTATAGTTTTCTAAAAATGGTTTTATATATAGTTCTTTAAAAATGGTTATATTTATAGTTTTCTAAAAATGGTTACATTTATAGTTTTCTAAAAATGGTTGTATTTATAGTTTTCTAAAAACGGTTATATTAATAGTTTTCTAAAATGGTTATATTTATAGTTTTCTAAAAATGGTTATATTTATAGTTTCTAAAAATGGTTATATTTATAGTGTTCTAAAATGGTTATATTTATAGTTTTCTAAAAACGGTTATATTTATAGTTTTCTAAAATGGTTATATTTGTAGGTTTCTAAAAATGGTTATATTTATAATTTTCTAAAAATGGTTGTATTTATAGTTTTCTAAAAACGGTTATATTTATAGTTTTCTAAAATGGTTATATTTTTAGGTTTCTAAAAATGGTTATATTTATAATTTTCTAAAAATGGTTATATTTATAGTTTTCTAAAAATGGGTTTATTTATAGTTTTCTAAAAATGGTTATATTTATAGTTTTCTAAAATGGTTATATTTATAGTTTTTTAAAAACGGTTATATTAATAGTTTTCTAAAATGGTTATATTTATAGTTTTCTAAAAATGGTTATATTTAAAGCTTTCTAAAAATGGTTATATTTATAGTTTTCTAAAAACGGTTATATTTATAGTTTTCTAAAATGGTTATATTTATAGGTTTCTAAAAATGGTTATATTTATAGTTTTCTAAAAATGGTTATATTTATAGGTTTTTGAAAACGAATATATATTCATATATTTGGATATCCTTAGATAAATTCCTTCACATGACTTTTTTCCAATGATTAAAAACAGTATTTTTTGTTAAGTAAATAAAGATTATAAGTATATTTCGTTGGGTTTCGCATGCGAGTGTTAAACTGAAGAAAAGGAGGGATAAGGATTGTTTACAAAAGTAACATATGAGATACGCTAGGAGATAGTTTTATCAAAAGAT